TCTATAAATACACAGACACACACACATATACCAATTGTTGTGATGCAAAAAAAAAATAATGTTTTTGAAGTTACAGATTTTGATGAGTTTCTTACCTTGTATTTGTTTGTGTTGAGAAAGAATCTTGTTTCTTTGTATTCGTTAAACGTTTTATTAACGAATCACGTAACTTGATGTATGTTAATGAAGTGAGAAACTTATGAATCAGATATAGCTGCAGATTCGTCTTATCTATCCAGGTATTCAGTGGGTGTTGGATGAACGTGATCAGTGGGAGTCTTGTGTGACGTACGTAGGGAACACGACTACTATCTGCACAGTTAAGCTGCCATTAAAAATGCCATGCGATTGTTGGTTTAGTTTTTACTATAACAGGAAGGCTCCATTACCTTTTGTGGAGAACATTGTTCTTAAGTTAATCATTGTATAGGGTAGAAGTACAGATGCACAAGTTCCTTCTTTTCTGGCATGATACGTATAACATCACGAAATACAAACAAGAAGAGTTAATCGTTCTCGTAACTCTACTTATTAATTAGTACTTATTGTTATTATTATCGATATCCAATTGCCGCAACCTTATCACAAGTTCTTCCAAAAAGTTGGTAAAACATCAAAACATACTGGTACGATTGTGTATGTAACTTGACATTTTCTGTTAAACACTTCTTGTACAAAAAACATAACAGTTCTGTGAAATAAAAACAATTAATTAAAACTTGAAATGTTCAAAAATATCAAAATATACTGGTACGATTGTATGTGTAATTTGAAATGTCCTGTTAAACATTTCTACTTCTAAAACATGATAATTCTGTGAAAAAAAAACAACAATAAAAGGTATTTGTTTTTAAAAAGTCACTTCATGAAACTTGTCACTTTTAGAAATATAACCGTATTAGATATAATAATAAAACATAAGCCTGGAAACAAAATCATGATTTTTTTTATAATTTTAAATTATTTGTGTTGCTGTGTCATTCAGTTTTTAATTTTGTGTGGGTGTGTGCATATATATATATATATATATATATATATATATATT